CATAAAAGGAAACAATATGCATCCAGACTCCACAAGTGAAATGTTTCTTGTTCAAGAGTAAGAATTGTTTGACCCATGTTTTCAGCAAAATAATATTATGGTATAAAAATAAAAAAAAAAAAAAAAAAAAAAAGAAAGAAAGAAAAGAAAAAAGAAAGGTGATCACATTTGTTGAAACTTGCTGAAGCAAAAATTAAGAAAGAGAAAATATTTAGAGGACATTACATGTACAGGGAGTAGCACTTACTGCACGTATGATGCCTGATGATTTGTGATATGAAGGGCAATTGCATTTTGAGCCAAAGCCACACTACTTCATTCACAGGAAGAAATGATCCCATGACAGCCATAGAACTAAGAGGACGTGGCCAGTAGCAGGGACCCAGTCACATAAATATGAAGTAAGGAATTCACTATCCTTAGAAATCCCCTATGGATTTCTACATTAGAAGGATGCCTCCACAAAAAGAAAAGAAAACAAAACAAAAAAAGATTTTTTTTTAGGGTTGATGAGGAGCGGAGCTCCTTCAGATACTAAGGGAGAGAGACAATCTTGGTGTTGGGGAATGAAACTACTTGTAAAAGTAATTTGCTACTCATCCCGATTCACAGGACTCTCCGTAAGCGCAGGGAAAGCGAGCGGCCAGGGAAAGGCCATGCCAGCAAAAGGCCCTTCCGCACGGGTCCCGCTTGCAGGCACGGCCGTGGCCAGCAGCCCGTTTCCCACGACGGTTCGCGGCCCGGCAGGTGGGGCCCGGGGAGCCGACCTTGAGCAGACAGGCCGCTTGTCTTGCCGCTGCCGAGGCGCTCTGACAGATTAGATGCTCTCCGCAGTAAATTGGGCAATGATGCTGTGCTAACTGAGAAGAATTTTGTGGGGTTTTTATTAGCGAGGTTCTCATTTTTTTGCTAAGCATGCACACTTATGAGCACAGACCCATGAATTCTCCCTGCAAGCCTCCAAGGGGGACTCAAATAGAGAGATTAAAAGAAGGGAAGGCACTTGCCTGCCTGGCCTCATAGCTGAATCTGGGGTGAGAGCCTTGCAGCCTGCCTTTCTCCTGCAAACCTGGGGAGCTGCAGCTGCTCCCTGCTCAGCTCTCCTTGCTACCTCTCCTTGCTACCTCTTGAAGACTTGAGGAAGCAGCACCTGCCCAAACGCCTGCTTGCTCCGTGCCATTAATGCAACACTCTGCACCTGCCTGTGGGCTCTCTGCTAGGGAAGCCACATGGTGCTTTGGGGGAGAGGAGGGCAGGACTCATCCCAGCTCCAAGGCTGTTTTGGGCTCAGCTGGGCCATGCAAGCACAGGGCAAGCGTCAAGCTGAGCGGGACCGGCTGCCGCGGCCGTGTTTACACAGGGCAAATCAGACCGCACAGGGACAGTTTGCAAACACCGTGAGACGAACTCTCGTAAACTCCCTGGCTTTACTCATCTCGCCCCCTCTGCCAGAGGAGCCCAAGTGATTGACAAACCACAGCC